GCAATCCCCTACATCATCAATTTGAGATCAGTTTTTTAGATGCTTATTCACGGGACTTTCTGAACACTTAATGCTTATTGGCCCAACGATTAAATTATTCACTGCGCATATATCTATTACAGGTTTCGATCACGTCACTAATTTATTGATCATCCAGTTTAGCTATTTCATTGACGCTGCGCTGGTACTATGAATGTGACGAAGTAGTTACATTTCTAGAATCAGATGAATAAATATAATAATTTTTCTATTTTAATATATAAAAAGGGGTTGCTTATTCAACTTTTCTAAGACTTTTGAACCTAAATAGAGGGGTTGCTTATTCACAGGGATTACTTGTTCACGGGACTTTATGGTACTCAATTCACTTGGATCACTAATCGAAGTTGAAGTACAATAACCGGACAAAAAAATATATAACAGCATCTTAAGCCATTTTTAGAGCTAGTTCTGTTCATCTTTTTCAAGATGATAATCTAATAACTTCACTTCCATGACCTATCCAGAGTCCTGATATAATCCAATCGTGAATTTAAAAGATGTTTGGAAAGGCAAATTCGTGCATGACCAATTTATCCCAAAAATCAAGAATAATTGATGGATGCACTTGCGAGGAATGGGAAAAAATCGAACTGGAAATTTTAAAAATTTTGCTGAAAGTACCGAGAGGCGTGCAAGATGTGATTGATGCAAATGATAACCAACCCAATATTAATATATATGTATGAATAGCACTACTTTTGCCGAATAAAAATGATATATTTTTTATTGTAGTTTATTTGAGTAGTAATTAAAAGTCACCCCACATTTGTTATCTAGATGTACATTGCTGATCATTTCACGATTACAACTACGTATTGATGACCGAAGATAATAGTGCGAAGAAAGAGGATAAATCGGAAATAGATCCAGAATAAACGCTGATGATGCCGCAAATGCTCAAATGGATTGGATTCAACAACAGACGCAAATTTTAATATAATTAAAAACCTTAATTTATCCGTAGAAACTACGATGAATGATTTATTGATTCTCTTTGACAATATACTGGAAAATGTTATAGTAAATCGCATTTCAGGGAGATCCTTTAGTACAATATTTAATTGGAGAATTGAAGAAAAAAATATTTTGAGTTGTGTTTGAAATCGGCAGAATCTGGATTTCCTCGTGCACAATTCAATCTTGCCACCTGCTATAAAAATGGACAAGGAACAATCAAAGATGAACACAAAGCATTTGAGTGGTATTTGAAAGCAGCAAATTCTGAGTATGATCTAGCCCGAATAATTTTAAAATTTAGTTATGAAAAATAAAAATGATGAAGAAAACTTATTTGGACATCTTTTGTTCAAAACATCTGTATTTGATAGTTCTCTTAATATTGTCGACTTGGATTATGTTATGAATATGAAGAAGGAACATAAAAAAATGACTGCAGAGAATTTGAATACTATTTAAGAGCAGCTGAGTTTGGACATAGAAAATCTCAGTTTAATCTTGGAAAATTTTACCAATATGGGATAGGTATTGAACAGAATCTCAACCTGGCATTAAAAGGCTAAAGAGAATGAACACAATCGAGCTACCGAAATGGTTGAATCTTTCAATTTTGAGAAAATTCATTCTAATTGATAGTTAACCATTTACTTCATTTATTAACTTTGAAATAGCAGTTTAGCATTATAATTTATTGCTTTGACATTATTGAGTTCTATAAAATATCTCGTCTTTTACATACCGAGTATTTACTAAAAGCACGTATATAGAAAGTTTAGTGTTATATATCTTCTTACATTTAGCATCATACTATTATTTATGGTACATGTTTTTATCTTTTCTAATGTTGATTCCAAATTAATTTATAATTATAAATCAACCTACCTAAATTGATATATATTTTGATTTTTTATAAGTTATAAATTAGGATTAAAAAGATATTCATATCAAAAAATATTCATAATTTTAGATTGATTTAAAGGGAAATTTATTATTTCAACATAAATTATATGTTTATTTTACCACACTGATATAGAAAATTTGAAGTCTTTTTCTTTATATTATTAACCAATTTTAATTTACCTATAATAAATTCGGATAATTTATTGCTTAACTAATGAAACAATTATTTTGATTAAATAATTCAAATATTATAAAAATTATAAATCTGAGATAATGCTAAACAAATAATAAACAAATTTAAATAGAAATGTGATAATCGTCAGATTTATTTTTAAAATAAATATAATTCACTTAAAATATTTGCGAATTACAACAATGTAATATTTTAGCGATGCGTTGTTTTGGCTGTTTGTTCTTTCAAAAGTAAATCCATATAAAATTTCTAAATTTTATAACAAAACACAACTTGAAAATATATAAAAATTATATGTATTAGTATAGTTTTTCATTTTATTATAAACATGTTATTAAATCAATATGGGTCTTATCATTTTTCGAACAAAGATCACGAATTTCTGTCCTTCTTCAGAAGGATTCTCTTCCCATTCTATCGCTTCAAAAGAAATAATGCACAATCTGTTATCCGACTTAAACTATTGGTTTTGTAAAAGATTTACCAAAATCTGATTTTTTACTGGCCATGATGAACGCAATATTATAAGATATATATTTCGGTTCTAATTAGGATTGTTAATCAGTCCTAAATCAATTCCAACAATTTTAAAAACTACTAATTTTAGAAAAGTCAAATTACTTAAATATAATAAGTAACCCTTTTTAAAATTAGCTATAACTAAGTTTTATTAATGGTTTATGAAATGAAATTATCTCTAAATCTGCAATCTTTATGGAACTGTTTCAGTCCTGGGATGGTCCCAAACCCATCCCAAATTCCAAATTTTAAATGATTCTGATTTCTTAAGTTTTATTGCTTATTTTCAATAAGTAACTTATATTAAACTGTTATAATAAGCAAGTTTAATTAGAAAAAATATCTCTAAAACTATTTATTTTCGTGGGACTGTTCGGATTATTTGAGACCAGTTAACAACTCTAGTTAGTTTTTTGCTAGATTTAAATGAAAAAACTCGTTTAAAAAAACACTGCGCTTAAAATTTGCTAAGAAATACAAGGATTGGATGATGGATGATTGGAACAAGATGATTTGATCAAACAAGTCTAATTTTATATATATTATAAAACATATTGTTAAATTTTGTGGCAGAAGTATCATGATATGGGGTTGTTTTTCTTCCTTCGGTGTTGATAACATCGTACACATTTTTGACACCATGAATAAGGAATTATACTAATAATAACTTGGTAGGAATTATTGAGCATTACGAGTTGGATAAGAATAATATCATTTTCTAACAGAATAATGTTCTGAAACACATGGCTAATTTAATAGAGCAATAGTAATATAATAATCACTATAAGAAATAGTAAGTTTTAAAATCACATTTTATCACGTTCGCGCAAACTAAAATTTAAAAATATAAATTTAGACCTTACTTCAGGTTACATGATATAAGAACTAGCAAAAAAGCTCTTTGTAAGAGTTGCGACAAAAACGCACTCATTACTAACCTTCCTGCATAGTCCCTAACAAAGCTGAATTGTGTAGTGCACATTGCAAAAATATGAAAATCTCAGTATTCAGTTCGTCAAACAACGTAGAAAATCTATTTTTCAGATTGCGCAGCTTTTAAATCTGCGCATTTATATTGCAACTAAGTGCTTTTTTAAATGCGCGATTTAAGTTTTCTTAAAACGTTTTTAAAAGCGCTTTAAAATCGCACTTATTTTAAATTTATCCGCGCTTGAACTGCGCAGTCTAAACGACAAATCCACTCATATGCACTTTACACCAGTCGAATTTTTGCTTCAAAATTAATTTCACTTCAAGTTTATCATGCGTATTGGCATTTCTTATCGTTACTGTGCCCTAAGTATCAATTTGTATGTTTTAAACGAAGGTAAACTTACATTTACCGTCATTGTCATTATTTTTTTCAAGAGAATGAAGAAATTTCGAGTGTCTTTCAAGAAAACTACATATCCATGACGAAACACATCCAAAAAAATACACGTAAAACAATATCAGAAGAAGGATGCTGCTATTTGGTACTTATGTTAGGTCTATTAAGTTAAATTAGAATCTAAAAACGTTAAAGATTATGAACATTAAAAGTGATTTTATTATTTTAAGCCTTAACATCAAAAATTTATTTATTTTACGGCTTTTATGTGTACTGTATTTAGAGTACATGTACACAGGCAGGATCATATTCACCTCTTATAGAACGTACCACTTTTATTACTTGCTTGGTCCTAGCGATTGGTAGTAAGTAAACTTTATAAGAATCATACTAACTAATATAGATCGATGTATATATAGACATACAAAAAATAAACCACTTTCAAAGTTATCTACTTTTCTTTCAATTCAACGAATACAGTCGTCACTCCATAGAATCATGTCCTCGGAACCAGAAATTGTATGAAGGTTAAATTTTCTATGCTGGAAAAATTGAGACTATAATATACGTATATTGCATAAATGTTAAGCTTTTTATTGGAACGTACCCAGCCAACGAAATTCATTGAATCACGCCCCTTTAGATGATAATTCCCTAAAGGGGTTGATATCGATATACATATGAATTTTAAATTATCCACTAAACGATGAGCTTGTTTTGACTTGATGCAAGCATTAACGTTAAATTGTTTAACTCCAAAGATAGAGATTACTGTGCATATCGTATCTCGATGTGATGCATAACGTTTTACCATTGCTAAGGGATTTCATTAATATTAAGCTTGAAATTAGCAAATGTTGCAATAAACAGTCGTTGAATATCGTCCTAATGATACACAACTTTATTAAGGGTAATTTCAACTTTCAAACTGCTCCAGTTCCAGCCTGCTGGATTACTGACACTTGAGGACTTTAGGCCAACAAGCGAAAGATGCAGAGAAAAATGTTTAAGCCTCAAACCATATTTTAAAAAATAACAAAACAAAACAAAATAGTTTAATTATGAGTGAGTTAATCTTTCAATAACTTCCAACATAATCATCATAAAAACGGTAGCCATAGGCGTTAAAGCCAAATACGAATAAGCTAACAAAGCGGCAACCTCCTCTTGGAAAGAACCAGTAAGCTGTGCCATATTAATAATAATAATAGCACTTGGTCCACTCGCAGTCATCATCATCACAAACCACAACATCGGATCTTTGAAATACCATCCTCTAGTCATCACCACCAATAAGATTCCGATAATTGGCATAATTATAAATCGACAAGTCATAATGTACGAGATTATTCCGAGTAGTTCGCGGCTTTTACTTGATGATGATAGGTTATTTAGTTGTGCGCCGAGAAGGAGGATCGTAAGTGGAATTGTTATGTCACCTAGGTATTGTGCTGGTCGTGTTATTACTATGTAAAAGATTGTGGTATCTTTAAAGAATAGGGATTTTATGGTAGGAATCGTTCCTACTATTATTGCTATCAGTGAGGTATAGAGAGGTGGATTCATGAATTCTTTAATTTTATAGATCAAATTTGAAAACGGTGCACGGAACGTTTGATGCGATGAAGATAATAATGGAGTATTTTCAGTGTTTGCTTGTTCGACGTCGGTAATACGATTATTGTCTATACTCACTTCTTTTTTGAGTAACCAAGTACCAAAACTAAATCTATGAATTGAAACAGTAAATAACAATTAAATTAAATCTTCATTATTGACACTAAAAAATTACATACCAAAAAATCTTACCTCAAAATATTCGCAAACAAAGTGTTTAATAGTGCATAAGAAATCCCACGAGCAGCCGCTTTTTTTGGCGTATCAAGATCTCCCCACAACAAAAAACTAATCGCTTCAGTCGCCACCAAACTCTGTATCAATCCAATAGGAAACGACGTCACATTGTTAAAGATTATTCCGGTAGCGAGGAATCTAGTTTGTGAACCTGAGAAATTAAATATTTTTCCGCCAATCAATCCTAATAAACCACTTATTAACGAGATTATTATGAGGAATGCTGGAAGTGGCCATAGTTGAAGTAGAGTATCGGCGTCAATGCTTTCTGCTACTTGGGCGAATAACAGACATGGCATTAATAATTGTATTGTAAGTTGTGAAAGTCCCTTTTTTGTGTAGTATATTTTTTGTTAATGATGAATGAAAAATATACATAAGGTAATGAAACTACAAATTACACGTACTCTTTGAGCACTCGCATCTAAAATTCCATATTTCGCACAATAATATCCTGCCACAGCCACAAGAAGCATCAAAGAACTCGACTAGACTCTCGATTACATTTCTTTCATTAATATCTAGTATTCAATGAATGGATAAACATTTAATTCTCACCTGTACTGAAAGTATTAATAAATCCAAAAAAGCCATCATCATTAACTTTTATTTTATTTGTTTGATTAGCTTTCTCTAGATTTCTCTTACTTTTCAAAAGAATGAAATGCTTTCTTGAGAAATAAAAATGAAACCTAAATACAGAAAAACGGATTCATGACTGTTGTATATCAGGCAAATAACTCATTTATCATGTAACAAGTGTGATTGTAGGATTATAGGATTGTAGAATTAGTATCGATATTCTTGATTCGGGAAATCATGCTAATATGTTATCGTGTAACAATGCGATTATTGTGTGATTGTCATGATATTTTTCGTTTGAGTATGAGTTCCGTTTTCATAGTTATTCTTTTAGTAATATTTATTAGCTTTACGATATATATTTTTATTAATAACGAAATTGTATAAATATCTCAAGTGAAACAAAAAAATAAGCTCATATCAAATCATCAAATAAAGATTGTCAATAAAGCATCTTTTCTTATTTGCTTTTGATTGACTTTAGAAGTTTGCGTACAAACTTAAGACCTCTACTCTAAATAAGCCATACTTTTGAACTTGATTAAACTATGAACTGATTTGATTATTTACCTTTTACAGGCCATATCAATAACTCCTGTGATTTATCATTTACGATTGATTTTGATATTATTGATTTGGGCAGTCTCAATAAGACCCGACGTTTTATTTTATTTCGTTTTTAGTTTTTTTTCTTAAAGGCAGTCTCAATAAACCCTTCGGTTGTTATCGCTAATTGAAAATTTATAATTCTTATTATTACGTTGGTCAGTTTGCGTACAAGCTGCCACAGGAGACCTCTAGAACCATAAAGAAACCCTTATCGCGTAAATCATTCAGTCTAACTCCTAACTGACAGTCACGACCTTTTTTCTTTATTTCCTGATCTTTTATTCAAACGTGACACTATCGATAAGCGAATTTTGTAATCGCATATCAATACATCCAATTCCAAATTTTACACGATAATTTGTGAACCAACGTTCCATATACTTTGAAAATTTGTAGTTATTTAGAAATAAAATAGAACATTTAATAGTGTTTGTTACATTAAAACTTGGTATTATGGCCGATTTCTCATTAAAAGTTCATGAATGACCTTTAGAAGCTCATAGAATAGTCATTTTCACATATAATAGAATTATATATGGTGAACAAGTTTAATTATGACGACAATAGAGGATTATTAGTAAAAAATAGACTTTTCATAGTCCAAAAATTTAATTTAAATTTTTTTTGTTTCGGGTTGCCAGATCGGAACCGAACCAGATTTTCGGTTCGGTTTCGAGTTGTCCAGAACCGTGCGGAGCACTACATGTACTTACCAGTTTTAATCTAGCAATGAGCATGATATTGGAAGTGTTCCATTATGAAGTTGTAATTATTCTTGAAAAAAATCTCATCCTCGTTAATTTCTGTTTTCAATCCAAAAGAAAAAATATTAATAAATTAATGAGGTCAATAAAAATAATATTAAATCTTCGTTGGAACACATAAACTGACACTTGTCAACCCTAAACATTTGATATTGATATGAGTTTTAATTAATATTTATAAAAAATACCGATACCTGTGTTAGTTGGAATTGATATTGATTTTTTAAATAGTCTATGTATTTGCTGTTTTTTGTATGCTCATCTTTTCATCAAGTTCATCTATTTTTTCTCTCTAGTTTAAGTCTCAAAAATCTCTTCGCGTGCCTTAGGAGATTCTAAAAGTCGTAGTGCTGAATTCAGTTTCCATTCCTCACACAAGTCGATATTGAAATTTAATAAAGTTAGTCTGTTTCTGGCATAGAATCCCAACATCTTTCAATAATACATTTACTATTTGGTATTTTAGATCGTATTCCTTTATAGATATCTAATACTAGATATATATGATGACTACACTCGTTTGCCTGTTACGATATTGTACATACGTAACCAAATACGTATAAGTAAGTAATCTGTAAATTTTTGATTGAAGTTTTTTATACCTGCTGGACCAGAGGAATATGATCTATGGGAATGGTCCGATTATAAAGTCGTGATTTATGAACTTTAATCAAAACCACATAAAGTCACTATTGGTGTGATTTCTACAATGATAAGTAGTGCTTGCATTAGTGTTGATGGGACCGATGCCGAGTTTACAACTCTAAGAACTGAGTAAGTTAATAATTTACACTTACGAGTTTATAACATTGAACTAATATTTGTTTCTTAAAGAAACACGTAGTGATAATTCTGGAAAAGAAGCCGACGTGTCGTTTCACTCACCGAACCACGAGTGCCTGCACTAACGGGAAGTGATGGAAAGGGCAACTTTTTTTTCTATTGCTTCAAAGCTAAGATTCATGCTTTCACGATTTCAGAATGAATCTTGGCCAAACCTTGTTATTGAGGTCGCATATTCAATCACGTTTTGGATAAATTAACAAGAAACCGATCTTTTAATTCTAGTACTGAGGTACAACCCTAATCATCTTTTCTATCAACGTGTCAAAATTTCTAACTTGTATGATTAATTTTTAGTTCGAAGTTGACACCCACGGTGAATTTGGGAATGTGCTGAATATTCAACCGGGACACATGCATAATCAATCTTGAGTTACATTGTCTTTTACCATGACATAGTTTCAAGTATCCAAATCCTTTAATTGTTCTTCCCGATCCCCTTGTATTAGATTTCTTACTCCTACGAAACAAAACCTTCTGTGCGTATATAAACAGATAATAGAAGAGAAGGTTAGATTTTACAATCGATAAAAAATTATAGAGGTCATTTGCAGAAATAAAAATTTTGATTCAAAATAATAAATAAATGAAACATAATCAAAAGTAAAAACAATGCAATTTATATATCTGTAAACTAATTCAAACGAGAAAATCTATAATTCTTTGAATGGATCTCTTTGAAGTTAAAATCTTACTAAAGGAGATTTTTGAAAAGATTTATAAGGCATTATTGCACGGTTACAAATGATAAATTGTGTCGATAATTCAAACAAATCGCATGAGAGTTTATAAACGAGATAAAAATCTAAAATGTAAACAAGTTACTAAGTTTTTCAAAAATAGATTCAGATTACATTTACATTAAAATGCATTACGAAACTTGTATTTAATTCTAAAATACAGCTACAAATATCAGTGGGCCGAAAAAAATTCACAGAAAAACTTGCAAATATATTAGGACTTTTATTATTGGTCCAGCAGATCGAGTACGCAAACGTTATCGTTATACATTAATATCAGTTTGATATCAAAGTTATTTACGCGCAAAAAAAGACAACCCACGCCCTTTAACCAAAAAAAAAAAAAAAACGAAATAAAAAAAGAAAAGAAAAAAGAAAAGAAGAAAAAAAGAAAAGAAAAAAGAAAAGAAGAAAAAAAGAAAAGAAAAAGAAAAGAAGAAAGAATCATCATGAGCAACATCAACATCAGCATCAGCATCAACATCAGCATCAGCATCAGCATCAACTCAGCATCAACATCAGCATCAACATCAGCATCAGCATCATCAATCATTATCATCAATGATATCATTGTGATCAAAGATCGATTTATGATATTGCAGAAAGCTCTCTGTTCTCCTTAAAT